TGATCTACCTGGTATCGTAACTAGTTTATTATACAACCTTGATCTACCTGGTATCGTAACTAGTTTATTATTCAACCTTGGTCTACCTGGTATCATAACTAGTTTGCCTGAAAGGATTTCTTCTAAAGAGTCTGGTAAAATAGTCTCCGATTCCCTTCAGAAACATATTTTAAACATTTTTTATCTCGTACATTTTGACAATAATTTGTCTACGTCCATATGCTTTTATAAATCAAGAGACTGCGGAAGTACTTTCAAAATGAATATACATTTAGAGATTTGCATGCCAGATTCATCTTTAAATTTGAATCTGAGTTTCAATGAAGAAAATATCGTCGTTTTTCTATCTAGAAAAGCAGTGAATTCTAAAAATGTCCACCATTGGTTTTACACTTTAAATACCAAGTCACTTTTAAATAGAAACTGCAATTAAAAATAATAAATGTAACGATTGAAACTTCATCCAGCAGACAGAGTGCCACTCAATAAATTCAGGGACACTTAAAACTAAACCGTTTTTTGCTCTTTCGATTTTCCCTATATCTATGGAATAATTGAATCAAAATAAAGAAAATAATAAAAGATAATTTGCTTTATTGTATTTTAATACAAGAAGTGTAAAAAATCAGTATTTCCATTTTTAATTAGCATAAAGTGCTTAAATTTCTTTTGTATTGTTTATGATTTATTCAAAAACTGCAGACCGAATTTTAACTTAAACATTGTTTTCAAAAAAGAATACTAATTTTTTGTTTATTAAAATTTTTTTTTTAAATTAGATTAATATATAAACAAAATGATTTTGATTAATGTAAACCCTGGAAAATAATATAATTTAAACCTGATTATTTTCGAAAATTAGATTTACAAGAAAAAGCAATAAGTGATAAGAAGGAGAACAAGAAATGATAATGAAAAAACATTTTTACATTTAAAGTCAATCAAATATACATTTGGGAAGTGATCACTGTATAAATTATACATTTTGGAAGTAACAACTTGGTGAATTATACATTTGGGAAGTGACAGCTTGGTAAATTATACATTTGGGAAGTGACAACTTGGTAAATTATACATTTGGGAAGTGGGAACTTGGTAAATTATACATAGTCAGCACTATACTTATATTTGAAAAGTCGCCAATTTGGAAACTGCCCTTGAAAAGCACTTAGAAAAATGTTTTACAAAAAATATATCTTTAGAAAATAGCTGGCATGTATTCTTCTGCCTGACAGTTCATTTTTAAACTTATAATTATGTAGATCATTGTAACAAGGTATAATTTTATTTTAATCAACATTATCTTTTTAATCTTTGCATAATCCTCCTCGTGAGCACACACTGTATTAAAGATTATAATTAAGGCAATCAGTTCTGCTTCATGATTTTTCATGTTGTTTTGACCTGCATAAGGTTTTCTGATTTTCTTTTTTGACATGACTAATTATATTTAAAGGTTACATTTTTCACAGAAATTTCAAGCAAAGAAGAAAAATAATATGTTTTCCTTTTTTATCATATCACTTTCATTAAATTTAGCAGCTATGGATTCAAGTTATATTTGTTGCATTCACCCTAAACTAAATCTTTCGGACCGGAAGTAAAGTGGGTTTTAGTGCAGAGTGATATTGGTCATAATATACTATACCTTGAGTAGGTATGGATATATGGTCGTTATATTACTATACCTTGAGTAGGTATGGATATATGGTGGTAATATTACTATACCTTAAGTAAGTATGGATATATGGTGGTAATATTACTATACCTAGAGTAGGTATGGATATATGGTTGTTATATTACTATACCCTGAGTAAGTATGGATATATGGTGGTAATATTACTATACCTTGAGTAGGTATAGATATATGGTTGTTATATTACTATACCCCGAGTAAGTATGGATATATCTTGTTTGTAGTATTACTATACCTTGAGTAAGTATGGATATATGGTGGTAATATTACTATACCTTGAGTAAGTATGGATATATGGTTGTTATATTACTATACCCCGAGTAAGTATGGATATATCTTGTTTGTAGTATTACTATACCTTGAGTAAGTATGGATATATGGTGGTAATATTACTATACCTTGAGTAAGTATGGATATATCTTGTTTGTAATATTACTATACCTTGAGTAAGTATGGATATATCTTGTTTGTAATATTACTATACCTTGAGTAAGTATGGATATATGATGGTAATATTACTATACCTTGAGTAAGTATGGATATATGTTGTTTGTAACATTACTAAACCTTGAGTAGGTATGGATATATGTTGTTTGTAATATTACTATACCTTGAGTTAGTATGGATATATGGTGGTAATATTACTATACCTTGAGTAAGTATGGATATATGTTATTTGTAACATTACTATCAACCCATCCAATATTGATATCTCCAATCACTCGCCCCGCCTCCTCACCCCCTGATAGGATTCGCTAAAACATAATTTATAGATAGCTTTGTGATTGATCAACGATCAAAGAGAATAAAAATAAAGAGATTTTTCACTCATTCTAACCCCTCTCTTGATATATAGAAATCCACATTTCTATGAGAAACCCGCATTTTTTTGGCAAAAACAATTCAGTTGATTTAACAGAAGTGTACGTGGACTATACTGGTTCTCAGAGGGACATCTTTGAGCGATAAAAGAATGTTAGTTGTAATTCATATTAAAATAATAGAGAATTATGTACGTGAATTAATATCGTTGAGAAGTACTCCCACTTCCCCCCTTCCCCCATCAACCCTTAGATTCAACAGATTAGCAAAGCTTTTGACTTTATTTATTCCCGTTTTTATTTAAATCTAAATCTTACCAATAAAACTGTGTCTTCATCCCCGTCATCTGGTCTCAACCAGCTGCGCACAGCGCCATTTTGTTTCCAACCATCTTCCCGGGTTTTTTGAAATATTTGGTTTGGTTTGTAGTTCCCTGTCGTTCTTCTGTCAAGACATTAAAGATTGTACATAACTTTTTTTTTTAAATGACCTCATTGAAGTAAATTTAACTTTTTACACTTGGATAATTTAAGAGTTAAAATCCAAATCAAACAAAGCAAGGTCAGTAAACATACATATAATTATGCTTGGTCTGGAATCAGTCAGGGAAATCAATGCACACAGCCAACTTGCCCCCCCCCCCCTTCACCAGCCACAGTAGAACAAGGAGGCCTGATTTTATGGTAAACATAGTTTTTATGAAAAAAAATTAAGATGATTTAACTGCAAAATTAAATTAGATTGAAATAGTGTCCAAAAAAAGAGAAAAATTGTTAGTCGTCTTTGATTTCAGATAGATGTAACACATCTAACAAGTTTTAGATCTTAATTTTTTTAATGAAAAAGAGACAAATTGGAAGTCGTCTTTGATTTTTACACGTCTAAGAGGTTGTTGGTCTTAATCTTTTTAAATGGTATGAATAAAAGAATTTTCGTTACTTGATTTCTTTTATTTAAGATTTCCTTATATTTTTTAATAGAAAATCATTTTGAATATAGCAAAATGAAATCATATTTTCAATTTATTTAATGTTTCCTTATCAGAGAGGCTGGTGAACACAAAACTAAATAAAAACAAAATTTTAAATTTAAAGTTGATCAAAATGAAGTCGGAAACTTTTGGATGTCAAGAATGCGCTGAGCTCCTCAAAGAGTTCACCTCGCACTCTCTCACTGAGAGGTAATTAACCTATTCAACTGCATCCCAACCAAACTTCCGACTGAAAAGCTGGAGGATAAAAAGAATAAGTAAAGGAATTGAATCTTCGCCACAAACTCATATTATACGTTAGATATTTTAAACTATGAATTTTGTTGGTTCAACTAATTTAAGCTTAAAATATCAAAGGCATTCACCATCAGGTTGCAAAGATATAGAGAATATGAAATTTGAGTTTGTGACAAAGACTCCATTTCTTTTCTTTCGACCCAACGTACGTTTTCTAGATATACTTGATTAAAAACATACCCATTGTACGATATTTAAACTGAAATAATTTAAAATTTTAATTGTAACATTTAAAAAAAAATATATAAAAATAGTTCAGAATTTCTAGGTCATGGAGACTAAAGACGTTTGTTTAAGTTGTTCTCCATTTAAAAAGTGTCATATCGGATTCACAATAGATACTCTTTAAACGCTTAAATGAGAAGCAATGAGATATTAACATCTTGAAAAGTGTTAAATTCTGACGATTCCCTTCATTGTCTTTAATTCTGTATAAATTTGCTGACAGATAATTTAAAACCTGAAATAATCAATTTTCATTTGTAAAAACAAGAAAATCTTATTTACTCTTGATCAGATAGAGATTTAAAGAGTATCATTGGGATTCGGACATGCTGCTCAAACGTTACAAATGAAGGGTTCTCTTTCTCTTTGTTTACCTAGTAGAACTAGATAAACACTCCACTGGACCCTCCATCCTCTCTTCATTCTTCATTCAGGCTTAATACAAATATAATTAATATCGTCGTTGTTTATATCAATACAATGAAGACGAGTTCATATTTTAATTTTGATTTCATACCAAGCTTTCAAAAAGCAGAAACACTTAAACAGTTAAACAAAGAGAAGTTGTCAACTAGCAGCTTATCTCTGTAGCTATGAAGGTAAACGTGTAATTTCAAAAATGATTGTTATTGATCAAAACATTTTTAGTAAAAAGTCGTCTTCATTTTATCTACTTCTGACATAAGAAAATTTCTGGTAGAAAAACATTGTTTTTTTCCACATTATTTATCAGATAAAGGTTGTGAATCGGGCATGCCACCCTACACATGGAGGATCATGTTAAATTGCGCAAACAATCCCTTTAGAAACTATACAATTAATGTTTATTAAGTCTTGAATTTAAAAGTTTAAACCAGAAAAAGGAATAAAACATGAAACATTGAAAAGAAATTCTAATTGAATTTAGTTTCTCAGAAGTCATTGTATTAAGGAAAGCTTAATTTAAAACACTTTATAAAAAAATCAAAATGATTAGTGGAACTAAAACAATTAATACAAAAAATATTCCCCCCCCCCTATTTGCTTTGTAACAACATCAAGAAAACTTAATTATTGCTTTAATGTCGTCTTACTATTCCACAGTTTTCTGGTTCTTACTGTACACAAATTTAACTTTCTCAAATTAAGGAAGATTTTAGCAAATGCAGGGTTACCCACAAAAGATGACACTCTAAAGACGACCTGTTTTCATTAAATTTGACGATTCCGAGGTTAAATAAAGTATTCTGCATTGGATGCAATCTTTTTATGGCTTAATCAATTATTATGCAAAAAGAAAAACAGTTTACAGTAGCCGGGAATATATTATATAAGTATAAGGAAACAGTTGACAGTTGCAGGGCATATATTATATAAGTATAAGGAAACAGTTGACAGTAGCCGGGAATATATTATATAAGTATAAGGAAACAGTTTACAGTAGCCGGGAATATATTATATAAGTATAAGGAAACAGTTGACAGTAGCCGGGAATATATTATATAAGTATAAGGAAACAGTTTACAGTTGCAGGGAATATATTATATAAGTATAAAGAAACAGTTTACAGTTGCAGGGAACATATTATATAAGTATAAGGAAACAGTTTACAGTTGCAGGGCATATATTATATAAGTATAAGGAAACAGTTTACAGTAGTCGGGAATATATTATATAAGTATAAGGAAACAGTTTACAGTTGCAGGGAATATATTATATAAGTATAAGGAAATAGTTTACAGTAGCCGGGAATATATTATATAAGTATAAGGAAATAGTTTACAGTTGCCGGGAATATATTATATAAGTATAAGGAAACAGACAGTATAAGTTCTTCTCTAAAGTCTCTTCCTTTGTGGATAACTCTGTAGCAAAAAAATAAAAAATCTGTTTAAACATTATGCTTGGATACTTAATATCTGACTAACTTGACACAGAACTTGAATAATCGAACACCATGAAGTTCTACCACGCTTAACTCGCGCTTCGTATATACAATACATATAAACATATGATAAACATACATAAAATATATATGTAAACATAAAAACATTTATATGTCACATATCAACCATTTTTATAATTCATAATTTTGAAACATACCAACAAATATCTATTAATATTTTCTTTAAAACGTTTAAAATATAAATAACTGTGCCACATATTTTCCCCTGAATTGTCTACAACCGAGTTATTCTAAGGTCGAAATAATTAAATATTAATTCCAACTTACACTAGAAAGGTCAAAAAAACTATATTTCCGTAGAAACATCAACTTATATTATTTCTTTCAGCAAATGGAACATTTTTAAAAAAAAATTTTTAGATTTCTTTTTTACTTATAAGTGCTTATTGGGCATTGTCGACGGAATTTCAAGTAACCCTTTGTCCGAATTTAATGAATTTAAGCCGCGTCTCAAAATTCCCAAAAACCGGTTTCAATCGAGCGCCGGCTTAAATCTTGAAAAATTTATTACAAATTTAAGTGGAACTAACCGTATTTTAGCCCCGGCTTAAGTTTAAGCCGTGGCTCAAATTCTTTAAATTCGGCCTTTTAATTAAGTAATTAAAATAGATAAAGATTAGAAGAGAAGGAGTCGGGTATTTATAACTCTGTAACTGGTCATAGGGTTAATTGAAATAACAACAACAACAACAACAACAACAACAAAAAAACAACAACCATACACAAAACTACGACAACAACAACAACACACATACACAAAACTACGATAACACGGGGTATATATTTCCCCGTTCACAAAAATCATCATCATTTGACATCTTTTACATTATCATTAGACCATGCGGTGTTTTCCTGGTGACTTTGTAGAAATATAGATCAGTTGTTTATTGTTACTGTTTATTGTTAATCATTATCAATTTCACACTTAGTCGACTTTTAAATAGAATCCTGGGATTTGTCAACGCACTCATAGATTACAAATCGATTACAGATTATAGACCATATTCACAGACTACAGATCAAACTCAGATTACATATCGATTACAGATTATATACCATATCCACAGACTACAGATCACGCTCAGATTACATATCGATTACATATTACAGACCATATCCACAGACTACTGATCAAACTCATATTACATATCGATTACAGATTACAGATCGATCACTGATTATAGATCACTTAGAAATCATAGACCATTCACAAACTACAGATCATACTTAGTAATTACAGATATCAGATCAATTACCGATTGAAGATCATTCACACTTACAGAATAGAGATCATACTCAGATCAATTACAGATTATATACCATTTACAGATCATTGATTACACAGAGATTACATATCACTCAAAGATAATTCACAGTTTGAAGATTACTCACAGATTAGAGATCACTCTCAGATTATAGATCACTCACAGATTTTCGATCACTCACAGATTATAGATCACTCAAAGATTATAGATCACTTACAGATTATGGATCATGCTCACAGATTATAGAACATTCACATTAGAGATCACTCACAGATTAGAGATCACTCGCAGATTAGAGATCACTCGCAGATTAAAGATCACTCACAGAGTATAGATCACTCGCAGATTCAGGAGAAATTATTTCCAAAACTAATGTCCCCGAAGATTATAGATCACACGCAGATTATAGATCGCTTACAGATTATAGATTACTCACAGATTATAGATCACTCACAGATTATTGATCACACACAGATTAGAGATCACTCACAGATTATTGATCACACACAGATTAGAGATCACTCACAGATTATAGATCATACTCAGATTAGAGATCACTCACAGATTATAGATCGCTCACAGATTATAGATTACTCACAGATTATAGATCACACACAGGTTATAGATTACTCACAGATTATAGATCACACACAGATTAGAGATCACTCACAGATTATAGATCACACTCAGATTAGAGATCACTCACAGATTATAGATCGCTCACAGATTATAGATTAGTCACAGATTAATTATAGATCACTCACAGATTATTGATCACACACAGATTAGAGATCACTCACAGCAAAATGTCGGCGGCAAACTCCTAATTTGAAGTAAAAATTTACGAAAGACGTAAAATCTTTGTCAACCCGCTCCTAAGTTTATAATTCGGTGGATATTGTAATTTTTCTGTCAGAAAGGATAGATAAGAAGGTTAGGGTGCGTAAAACTCTAACTATGTTTAACAATTTCGTGTGAGGTTTAAAAAGTCAATCAGTTGTCTTTAAAATATGTCAAATTTTGCACCACTGCCATGCAAATTAAATCCGCTCTGACGCCCTTTTGCGTAATCGCAAAATTAATGCAGTTTCTCCACGCATGCACGCGCACCCATGGTCAATGCGAAAAAAAGTTTTTGCGGTCATAATTTATTTTGGATTATTAAGATTTTCTTTTTTAGACATGGTTGAAGGAATTAAAGCTTGATATCGTATTTCAAGGTTAATAAGTATACCTTCCCCACTCTACTAGGGAGGGGGTGCAGGGACGCCATGAGCCCCGCGAAAAAGCCTCCAAGCCTCTGTATTCGCAGATGAGATTTAAAATCACCTATAATAAAATAGATATTAAAGAAGTAATATATATATACAAATTTTAATAAAATTTAATAGTTTTGCAATGTTTTTTCGCACAACTATTTAAAGATTAGATATTTTCTATAAAATATGTTATTCATTGCTTCTATAATACCTATTCTAACGTTTAGGGGTAGTGGCGTGGTCATTTATATTTATCTGCGAAAACGGTGGCTCGGAGACTATTTATTAGGGGTCATGGCCGCCCTGCGCCCCCTCCATCTCTCTACACACTGCACTATATAGATCTGATTATGTCCTTAAGTTAAAAATGTTGTGAGAAAATTCTCTTATCTAAATCACCTGATCTCGATATCAACTATGATCACTTTCAAATTTGATAGATAAGTGGTCTGATTAATTATATAGGGAACCCTAACTGCAACGATTTGATGCCGTTTAAACGTAAATTTTAAATAAACAGAAGTAGCTTGAAAACGAACTTGTATACAATCGCTATGCTTTATGTTTACTGTTCATGGAATTATTTCAAGTCGTTAACTTGAGTCTAAGAGACGTCTTCCTATTCCACAGTTTTATGGATCTCTTTCATCATATGAAAAATTTGGTACAGTGGTTATTAAAATAAATCAATAGAAATCATATGTTTAGTTTTATTGCTCAATCTGCCTTATTTTCAACGGAAAAATAAATTATTAGATTAGATTAGATTAGAAATAGTTAACTAGATTTGCACTATTTCAGACAGAAGTTTAGACCTTAGTTTTCGATGTCAACAAGACACTATAGCTCGTATTTTATCAACGCCAAACCAATTGGCGCGATCTTGTCAGCTATCGATGTCACAAGGACACTAGCTATTAATCGATCAATGCCAAACCAATGGGCATGATCTCAGCTCTTATGTTTCATGCAAGAACTCGTCAGCTATCGATG